AAAAAAAAATCCGAATAAATAATCTTGATAACGCTATTAATGTGAAACAATGTGGGAAAAAGAAAAAGCTCTCTTATGCCACACTATCAATAAGTATAATGTATTATTTTGTGTAATAGAAACAAACAAGGAACGAACACCGTTGAGATTGTTAAAGAAAGCAAGCTGCAACTGTCAGTAAATATTGCTTAATAACTCAGTGTAAATATCCTCATCACTTTCCCCTCCTAAAATCCAGACTTCGTTTATGCATTTGCATGCACTTTGTATTTTGAGTGCAATTAATACAATATTAAAGTAATAAAAAATCCACAGCTGCAACACCAAAGATATACGCACATCAATAAATTCATAAATTAGCCCAATAACTGCCTATCGTGCATGAAGTGTCATTCCACGAGTACAGTCACTTTCGATATACAACCCGTGAACTGCTACGCTACTTAAAAGGGATTTTAATGTTTACTTGAGTAAAAAGTCAGAGTACTTTTTCCCACTTTGCAGAAGAACTGTGCATCACAAGATTTCACTTTTTATGAGCTCCACTTTTCACCGCCTATCGTGAGCTTGAAAACTGTGGTTTGCGCACCGTTTCTTCCCACTTCTCAACAATCTGACTAAATATTCAGACTTCCTGTGCCCCCTGAATGTGCTGGGCACCTCCCCGGCATTAATTCACCTGTCGAAACTCCAAGGTCACGTGTCGTGGGCGTTTTGACCCACGCGTCGGAGCGGTGTTTCGAAACACCTGCGCTTCCAAACTCGACTTGTTGTCGAAACGTGAATATCCCATCCCTGTCCATCGCCAAGGACACGGATTTAAGCACCAACGGAAACACCTTCCTTAATTTTGGCTTTACTTTTTCTGGAGAAAACTTGCTTTTTAAATGCTGTCCAGTCGTCCAATATTTGGAATATAATGACTAATCTCACCATTTTTCTTGATTTGGAGTCAACAGGTAAAATTGGCTGAAGCGCAGGTGAAATAATACCTGCTGACCTGTGCTGCCTTGGCCACAGAAATAAGAAAGTCTTAGAAATTTGATCTTTTTACTCAGTTTCTCTTCATCAAATGACTTGAACATCTTTGAATCAGATAATGAAATAAAATATTCATTTTCATGAGATGACTGATTGGTCTAAGTGTAGAAAAGATAAGCACTTTTTTCTGTTTAGCTCCAGCACTTAGCTTCCTGCACTCTCAGTAACAACTTGCGCCAGTTCTCCAGCCTGCCTTCGGATTTTACCTGCAGAGTGAGAAAAGGAGCCTCCATGAACGGTGAAATGAGCGTCGCAGCAGGCTTACACTCCCTCGTACTCATCAAATAACCGACCCTGAAGACAAACAGCAGCAGGCTGAAGGCAGCAAAGAGCAGGAGAGCCACTGTGACATGAAAGCGCTGTTAGAACATCCAAGCACACCCTGTGAGCAGTCTGCTTTAAAGAGCGAAACCGGCAACTTACGGATGACAGGGACCCCCCCGGCGTGGTGGTCTCTGTGCGGGCTTATATCCGGATGTCTCCTGGCCCACAGCAGGTACCAGAACATCCAGATCAGGCTGATCCCCATGAGCACCAGCAGGAACACCTCGGGCTCCTGGTGGCTCAGACACTCAGGGTTGAAGTTTTCGCCGACCACCAGAGCGGTTCCCAGCAGAACCACATTGAGACCCACCAAACCAGAGATTAGACGTCTCCCACTGGGAACCCACAGCAGCACCGGGTCCAGCTCCTTTTCATGAGTCTGATGATGGTCTAAACTCTGGAGCGGTTCATCACTAGTGGGAATTTCAGGTGTCCCACAGACAGTATCCAGCTCCAAGTCTCCAGCATCACGATCCGTGCTCATGCTTTTTCCTCTCGTCTACAAAAGACACTTGTTTCCTTTCCTTTCAGCTGAAGTTCAGCGAGGAGACATGCGACAGTCCTCTAATGCGCCTTCCCACGGCTCCCACACGGCTGTAGGTGTGGTCATGATTTTAACACACCTACACAGGAAATGCATCATATTTACTTTGCAAACTGGTTCTTTATTCACCTGCTGAGCAATTCGGACAAAGTTTACTTAATAGAAAGATTAATGAATTATTAATTTAAAAAAA